TTCTTCGAGCTATATGGCCGGCCCACTGCCACTTCAGCTTACTAATCCGTTGGGCTATGTCGGTCACTCTGGTTCTACTGCGGATATCCTCATTTCTAAGTTTATTACGCAGAGAAACTCCGAACATAGCTCTCTCCATAGCTCGCTAAGCGACCTTAAGCTTCCTCATCCGGCCAGCAGTGAAGGACCACGTCTTAGATCCGTAAGTCATTACTGGCAACACGCACTGGTTGTACAATTTCGTTTTAAGGTTTTGAGGTATGTCTGACGAGAAGATGTGTCGTAGCTTCCTGAACGCTGCCCAGCTGAGTAGAATCCGTCGATTGACCTCTTGGTCGACGTTGGACTTATCTAGTCGGACTATTTGTCCCAGGTAAACATACTACTCAACAACTTCGAGCTTAGTGCTCCCAACAACTACCGGCATAGGTGTGACATGGACATTAAACATGATCTTTGTTTTGTCCATGTTCATCTTAAGACCTATCCGTTGGGAGACACTATTGAGGTCATTGAGCATAGTGCTTAGGTCCTCCAGCCATTCTGCCATAAGGACTATATCGTCGGCAAATCGAAGGTGAGTGATTTACTCGCCATTGATATTGATACCGTATCCTTTCCAGTCCAGAAGCTTGAAAACGTCTTCCAATGCAGCGGTGAAGAGTTTCGGGAATATAACGTCACCCTGTCTTACACCTCTCTGCAATTGGATAGGTTTCGTACTCTGGTTCTCTACTCGGATAGCCATCGTAGCCCTACTGTACAAGCACTTCAGCACTTCGGTATACCGACAGTCCACTTGGCACCGCTGAAGGGACTGCAGCACCGCCCAAATTTCGGCAGAATCAAAGGCTTTCTCATAGTCCACATACGCCAGGCATAGTGACTAATTGTACTCTTCGGACTTCTGTACAACTTGCCAAAGGGTATGTATGTGGTCTATGGTGCTAAAGCCCTTTCGGAAACCGGCTTGCTCGGGAGGCTGTAAGTCGTCAAGTCTGCGCGCGAAGTCATAAGGGAAATCGGTCTGTAGTTCTTCAAGAGAGCATTGTCACCTTTCTTGAAGAACAAGACCACCGCACTTCTGCTCCACGCCTCTGGTGTAATGCCACCATGGAGGACGGAATTAAAGAGCCTCTGAAGGACTTCAAGTACCGGTTTTCCACCCGCTTTCAGAAGCTCCGCTGTAATTCCATCCTCGCCTGGGGCTTTGCCGTTTTTAAGGTGCTGGAGAGCCATTCTAATTCCGCTCAGACTGACGTCCGGGATATCTTCGGAATAGTGTCGGATAAGACTCGCTCTTGGGTCGTTACTCACACTTACGTGTGGCTTCAACGATGGTGTATACAGCTGTTCAAAGAACCTCTCAATCTCACTCAAAATCTCAGGTGCCCCAGAAACGATGCTGCCACAGTCGGTCTTCAGCTTTGACAGTTGGCTCTTTCTGGTAGACAGATCTCTGGCAAAGACTTTGGAGCTTTGGTTTCGCTCGATCGCTTCTTCAATACAAGCTGTATTGAAGTTGCGTAAGTCCCGCCGCATGCATTTGGAGATCTGTCTGTTCAGATGCCTGTATGCTGTCAAATCTGTTGAAGAATGCAGCTTCATCTCCCGTCTAACAGCCATGAGATTAAGAGTGTGATCTGTTATATCCCTTTTTACAACGCAGTTAAATCTTAGTAAGCATTTATTCAATCCCACGGTACTTTTCCTATATATGACGTCAATCAGTAATTGCATTGTTCTTTTCCATATTAATTTTATTCCATTTTACAGTTAGTTAGATTCAGAGCCCCGGGTAGATCGGACATAGACTCCGATACGTATTAGAGTTCGGAAGTCAGGGTTAATATTAATTGTGTGTGTAAACTTTTTATAATAAACCCTTAGGTTTACCTTGTGGTTTTTTTTAAAAAGTCAAACGGGATCGGCCTCCTAACAAATTGGTGTCAGAAGTGGGATGCCAAACAGAAGGTCATAGAAGACATTGGCATCCGAATCCGAGGTCCCCGAAATCATCAAGGTCGACATTAAGCCTTAGCCGTGCCTAAGCCTGCACCTACCACAATTTTGGACGACGATCAGCCTCCGCTCTGAAGCGTGAGCCCGCTCCACTTACACTGGTCCTGAAATCTCCCGTCTGGCCGACGATAAGTCTCCACCAGGAGCCCGCACCAGCTGGATCTAACTCACCAACAAAAATTATTTCAAGAACTTTCTACGCCTTCCGGTCCTGCTATTTCCCACGACGTGACGGAGTCACCGCGTCAGCGATCTCGCCTGCCAGCCGCCACGAGTGTAACGTTTCACCTAGCTATTGTTACGACGCTTAAATGCTACGTGTAGAAATTATTACCATTCTGTAAGTCATTTTGTATTCTGTTTAAATTTAAAATTTACTTTTATTTTACACTGTTTCTGTACTATTACCAATCTTTTACGTTGTTTTATTGTGATTATTTTATATAAGATTAATATTTAAAATTTAATTCTATGTCGCTTAAAGCAGAAAAAGGTAAAGAAAATATGTCGGAAAGAATCACGCTTTCATTCTTGACGAAATTTATAAAATCCTATAATGGGGAGAAAGATTCCCTACCCGCTTTTCTTACAAACTGCGACAATGCAATGTCGTTAGCTACACCAGAACAACAGCCTATTCTGTGCAAATTCATCATCTCACAACTAGAGGGAAAAGCACAAGTTGCATGTAGTTTAAAAACCTTTGAAACATGGAATCAAATAAAATCATTTCTCCGTTCTACTTTTGGGGAGAAAAAACACGCGACACATTTACTATCAGACTTGCAAAACTGTAAACAGTCATCCGAGGACGTCACTAAGTTTTCTTTAAAATTAGAACAAATTTTAACAAAAATTCAATCAGATATACACTATAGTTGCAAAAACGCTGATGAGCTTCCAGGTAGAATAGCCGCCATGGAGGATCTAGCATTAAATACATTTTTGTTAGGGTTAAATCCTGCTATTTCTACTATTGTTAGATGTAGGAACCCTCAAACTCTAAATGAAGCTGTTCAATTAGCGATAGAAGAGGAAAAATTACAAAATCTCCAAACGTGTTCAAAAAATTCAATAAAACAGTGTAGTATATGTAATAAAGTAGGCCATGTTGCTATTCAATGTTTTAAAAATAAAAAACATTCTAATTATAATCATAATAAACAAATTTCGCATTTATCTAGTTCTAATTCTGGTAAATTAATGTGTAATTATTGCAAAAACATAGGGCACACTATTGATCAATGTAGAAAGCGACAATATAATATGCAACAACGTCAAAATTTTAATAAAAACTTTAATCATAATTCTAATACTAATTCTAGTTATATAAATCGTAGCCCAAATAATAATTCTAATTTTGTAAGTCGTAACCCTATTCCTAATTCTAGTTCCAACTCTGTGCCTATGCACATGACATGTGATAACGACGACGCTGTCGATAACTCTAACTCTTTAAACTGAATAAGATTTCGGATGCGTGTCTGCCGAAATCGTACTATCGTAACGACACGAAAACAATTAATACTACTTTTTCTACTAAATCTTATAAAAATCCTTATGCTAAATCTTATTCTAATTCTTATTCTAACTCATCTCGGCAATGCTTTAGCAAGCAACCGAGTCATTCTAGCTCATTTACATCTCAGTTACCCAAAGAGGAACTGAGTCATTATAAGTCTTTTGCATCTCTGTTGACCAAAAAGGTACAACCGAGTCCTACTAAATCGTTTACTATATCTACATCTCAGCAATCCAAAGAGGTGAAGCTGAGTCTTGCTAGTTCTTATGCATCTCAGTTGACCAAAAAGGCACAACCGAGTCCTACTAAATCGTTTACTATATCTACATCTCAGCAACCCAAAGAGGTGAAGCTGAGTCTTGCTAGTTCTTATGCATCTCAGTTGACCAAAAAGGTACAACCGAGTCCTACTAAATCGTTTACTATATCTTCATCTCAGCAACCCAAAGAGGTTAAGCCGAGTCTTAATGAATCTTATTCTAATTCTATTCCTATCTTTGAAACGAGCATAAATACATGCAAAGTTTCGTTACCATATACAAATCTATTTACAAAATATTCTCCTAAGTGTCTCAAACTTCTTATCGATACCGGCGCGAGTGTCTGTGTCATCAAACACTCATGTTTAAAAATGAAACATGAACTTCTTAAGGACAAAATAAGAATCAAAGGTATAAATGATACGGATACATATTGCGAAACGCTAGGCTCAATCTACTTACAATTTTTATTAAGTGATGAAACTTACGAGTATAAATTTTACGTTATTAACGATAATATAAATCTTAATTACGACGGTATTATTGGTACAGATTTTCTTAAATATTTTAATGCTAATATAGATTATAGCTCTAAGATAATGACTCTGTGTGGTTACCAAGTTCCCATTATATTTTATCAGCCAACATACATCGTTCCGGCACGCTCAGAAGCCGTCATTGAATGCGCTATATCAAATTACTCGGTCGAGCTTTATCACAATAATGAAGGCTTAGTTCTAGATCATACCTTAAGCGAGGGTATTTACGTCGCGAATTGTATTGTGTCAATAAAACCAAACAAAAAAGTTAACATCACCGTTTTAAACACGACTGACACAGACTTAGAAATTAAAGATTATTTCGTAGAATTGACACCGATCGATTATAATAATTCTATTTCCTGCGAAAATCCAATATCTAGTAAATGTTTATATTCTATTTCTACTTCTAAATCTAATCGAATAGATCGAGTATTAAGTCTTTTACGCTGCTCCCATCTCAACGATGAAGAAAAGAAAGCACTTTTAAATTGCTGTTCCGATTATACGGATATCTTTCACCTCGAAGGTGAACCCCTTTCGTTTACGAATGGCATCCAACATTCCATAGATACGGGTAACGCGGCCCCAGTTCACGTAAAATCATATCGCTTCCCTGAGTGTCATAAGGAAGAAGTCGATACACAAATTCGCAAAATGCTAAATCAAAACATAATTCGTCCCTCTGTTTCGCCTTGGAGCGCCCCTGTATGGGTAGTCCCGAAAAAATTAGACGCTTCTGGCAAAAGAAAGTGGAGAATAGTCATTGACTATCGCCGTCTTAATGATATCACAGTTTCCGAAAGTTATCCCCTGCCTCTTATCACCGATATCCTAGATCAATTAGGCCATTCCAAGTATTTCACAACCCTTGATCTTGCTAGCGGTTTCCACCAAATAAAGATGGATCCTAAAGATGCCCCAAAAACGGGATTTACTATAAGTACTAATTCGAGCATGTCTGGTCACTACGAATTCACTAGAATGCCCTTTGGTTTAAAAAACGCTCCTTCTACCTTCCAGCGCCTGATGAATACTGTCTTATCAGGTTTGCAAGGTCTACACTGTTATGTTTATCTAGATGATTGCATAATTTATAGTCATAATTTAAATGAACATATGGAAAAATTAAAACTAGTATTCAATAAGCTGCGCGAATACAATCTAAAATTGCAACCAGATAAGTGCGAATTTTTAAGACGTGAAGTAACTTATCTTGGTCATATTATCACCGATAAGGGTGTCTCTCCTAATCCAGAAAAAGTAAAAGCAGTGTCACAATTTCCAATTCCTAAGAGCCCTAAAGAAATTAAATCCTTCCTAGGCCTAATAGGCTATTATCGCCGATTTATTGATAATTTTTCTAAACTGACAAAACCACTTACTTCTTTATTAAAAAGGGATACTACCTTCCACTGGTCTCAAGAACAACAAATTGCTTTCGATGTTTTAAAAGAAAAATTAATCACTGCTCCGCTGCTCCAATATCCAGATTTCTCTCAACCGTTCATAGTAACTACAGATGCAAGTAATTATGCCGTAGGCGCAATCTTATCACAAGGTCCTGTAGGCAAAGATAAACCGATAGCTTATGCATCACGTACTTTAAACCGTCCCGAAGGCAATTATTCAACTACCGAAAAGGAACTTCTAGCCATTCTATTCGCAGTCAAAACGTTTCGTCCTTACCTCTACGGTAATAAATTCAAAATAGTTACCGATCATAGACCATTGGTATGGCTATTCAATGTCAAAGACCCAGGTAGTAGACTCATTCGTTGGCGCTTAAAACTAGAAGAATACGATTACGAAATTGTTTATAAACAAGGCCGTCTTAATTCTAACGCCGATGCGTTATCTCGCTGTCCCGTTAATGTTATAGATATTAACACTTTAAATAATTCCAGTTATGAAAAATATTTTAAAGACCAATTTACAAATAAAACTCCTATTTCAAATACAATAATCTTAGAATGTAGTCAAGGATTACACCTATCCAAACTAAAAACTATTGCGTGTCCCGTCTCTTTAGATTTTGACTCATCTATACCTCACTGTGAAGAAATATTAGCACAATTAGACAAGCCTGAGGACTTATTAAATTCCGAACGCGAACCATTTACAATTCAATGCGTAAAGGATAAGAATAAATCTTACTATTTTATGTACACTAAAATTCATCATTATGAAGAAACCAAATTTAAAGATATTTACAATTTAATTATAAAACTCAGAGACAAAATTTTAATCGAGAACCCTGATATTACAGATCTCGCCTTATCAGACTTTTCAGATCCATTTTCTAAGCTAGCTTATATTAAAGTATATAATATGATTGCCTATATTTTTCATAACACTAACATTAAAATTCATATATACAAAAATCAATTAATTTATCCTACTCCCGTCGAAATCCCTAAAATTTTAAAAGAGAATCACGATTCACCTATTGCGGGTCACCCAGGTTCAAGTCGTATGTATAGACGAATTAAAGCCGCCTATTATTGGAAAAGTATGCGCTCTGACATTGTAGATTATGTAAAGAAATGCCAATTATGCCAAATTAATAAACCATTAAGAATGTCCAATAAGGCCCCAATGGAAATAACCTCTACTTCCACTAGACCGTTTGAACGATTAGCTCTTGACATCGTTGGTCCTTTACCTGACGCAGGTTTTCAAAAATTCAAATTCATCCTTACATTACAAGATGATTTAACTAAATTTTCAAGTGCTTATCCCCTGGTCACAGCTACCAGTGAAGAAATAGCCAGAAATCTTGTACATTTTATGTCTCTTTTCGGTTTCCCTAAAACAATCTTAACGGATTTAGGTACTTGTTTTACGTCTGATTTATTTAAAGAATTAACTCAAATCTTAAAAGTCAAGGCTTTATTTACTACTCCTTACCACCCACAAACAAATGGAGCTCTAGAACGCTCACATGCTACTTTAAAAGAATACTTAAAATCCTTCGTTAATGAAAACCAGAACGACTGGCATTGTTATTTATTTACCGCAATATTAGCTTATAATACTACCCCTCATTGCACTACCAATTTCACCCCTCATGAATTATTATATGGTTATAAACCTAATATCCCTAATTCTCTATATGAAACGAACAATAATACTACTTATAATGAATATATTCGAGCTTTACAATATCGAATGCGTTTTAGTAGAGAAAAGGCCATTCAAAATATAATTAATAGCAAAGAAAAATCCAAACAATATTACGATGTAAGTTCACGCGAAATTTCGTATAAAATTGGTGACTTAGTTTATATAAAACACCATCACCGACTTCGTAAGGCCCTATCACCTATATGGAAAGGTCCATATAAAATTATAAAAGTCCATAATAAGCACAACGTTACTTTACAAGTAGGTCGTAAACATGTTAAGTATCATATAAACGAGATTAAGCCTGCTATTAACACTCCTTAAATTTAACTTATTTTATATATTTTTCAGAGCTTTATGCTATGGAAGCCAAAGCCACGCTGAGTCGAGGATCATACCTATATCACATAGTCCTGGAATTTATTTTGAACCTATTACGCATATTAACTTTTATAACGATTATTGGAAGGTTATAACATATATAGACCTTATACCTTTAGCCCCTTATCTCAATAAAATTGAAAATTTATTATATGATACCTTAAACCTTTGTTCCAAAATAAATACTGATGAATTTTCCGAATGTAAAGATTTTTCAAATCCTATAGAGATTTTAATAAAATATAATTACGTCAAATTGCAATCCCTAGCACATATAATCGATAATAATCAATCGTCAAATAGAGTTAAAAGATCTCTAGAATTTGGAGGCGAAATTCTTAAATTTTTCTTCGGTACTCTAGACGCAGATGATGCGCGAAAATATGATGCCGCGATAGAATTATGTCGGAAAAGTGAAACAGAACTATTTAATTTATTCAGAGACAATATTCACATAATTAAATCTACCATAAATAATTTTAATGCCACTATTTATAAATTAAACCAAAATGAATTAAGATTAAACTCACAAATTAATAAAATGAATGAAATTCTTTCGCAAATCACAAAAACCGATAATTTACTTATTAACATTTCTAGAATAAATAATTTATTGAACATAATTGAAAGCTCCTTACTTGCCATTTCTAACTTGCTAGACACGACTATAAATGCTATCCTATTTTCCAAGGTAAATGTTTTGCATCCTAGCGTGATTAGCTCTTTAAGTCTTTATAATGAATTAACCAAGCATATCAATCAAATAAATAAACGTTTAGATTTTCCAGTGCAATTGAACATACATAATATTCATTCGTTAATTGATGTTTCGAAACTTAGTTCATATTATTATAACAATAAGATTGTTTTCAACTTGCAGATTCCATTAATAACACCTGATAAATTCATTGTTTATAAAAATATCCCATTACCGACTCCTCACGACGAGTCGCATATACAAACGTTTGCACTTATTCAACCTTCTAATTCTTATATTGCTTTAAGTGACGATAGAATACATTATACTATGTTTAATAACTTAGATGATTGTAAATTTATTAATAATAACTATTCTATTTGTGAACTATTTACTATAACGTCTAGCATAAATAATCCTAATTGTGAATCGAAATTATTAACAGAAGTAACTCTTTCCTTACCTTCTGAATGTAACTCCAAGTTATTATTTGGCCAAATCAATATTTGGCATAAATTAAAAAATAATAAATGGATATATGTACAATCCAATGTAAATAAATTAAATATCAAATGTAACGATGATATTACTGATCATTCTATTATTGGCACAGGTATTGTCAAATTAACCGAAAATTGTATCGGTTATTCCAAAACTATTCAATTATTGCCAACAAGTACTTATCAATTTTCGATTAAGTCAACTATAGATATAAGCTTTGACATAACAAGAGATGATTGTTGCAAAAAAGATGTATTTAATAAAAGTTTACCATATTTAACGCCAATCTCTCTAAGCAAAGTTAACTTGGATTCCTTAAAATATGCAAATCATCAGCTAGATAGTTTAGAATTTGAATTAAATAATCTTCAAAAGGAATCACATTTTATAAAATACGGTTCATACTATTCCACATTTACTTATATTTTAATTGTATTACTATTTTTGTACTTAGCCTACAAATTATTTAAATGTTCCAGAAATCGACACAATAATAGTGGACATTGTATACAAATATTTAATCAGTGTAATAATAAAAAGTCGTCGAAACATAATTCTAAAACTACAAATTCAATTGAGATGATTGATATGTCAACATCTGAAGAAGATAATAACTCACCCAAATCTTTACCAAATTGTACTAATTGTGAACCTTATAGAACTGTACACAAAGTTCACTCTTCCTCCGGAAGAAATCTTAATTTCTAATTTTATTCAATTTTAGTTTACAAAAATGTTTGTATTAAAACAATTGATTAATTTTATTATTATACAATTTCAATTTCTACTTTGTCATTTTATATTTTGTAATTGCTACATTTTACTATTTTTAATTCAATCTAATTGTAATAAGTATATTATAATTTTAAATGTGTATTGTTATTTAATTATATACAATGTTAAAATGAAAATTGTAATTGAAACTACTATTTTGTTTATTAAAAATCAATTTCTACTCGTAATTCTACTAATTCATTTAAAATACTTTTAATTCTAGATTTTACTATTTTACCTTTATATAAATTCATTGTTCTATTTTATATTGATTATTTGTTAAATCTTACGCTGTTTCTTTTACGTAACTTAGTTACAACTTACTTTATCTTTATGTAAAATCAAATAGTTAGAAAGTTTTATATTGTTATAAGATAAATTTGCTATGTTTTACTATAAATTTAATTTTCTATTTCTATATTTTGTAACGCCTTCCGACCTCTAACTATTTCTCTATTTTGAAACTTCGCTTTATCTTAATTTAGAAAAAGCTCAGTCAAAAGGGGGGAGCTGTTATATCCCTTTTTACAACGCAGTTAAATCTTAGTAAGCATTTATTCAATCCCACGGTACTTTTCCTATATATGACGTCAATCAGTAATTGCATTGTTCTTTTCCATATTAATTTTATTCCATTTTACAGTTAGTTAGATTCAGAGCCCCGGGTAGATCGGACATAGACTCCGATACGTATTAGAGTTCGGAAGTCAGGGTTAATATTAATTGTGTGTGTAAACTTTTTATAATAAACCCTTAGGTTTACCTTGTGGTTTTTTTTAAAAAGTCAAACGGGATCGGCCTCCTAACAGATCGTAGAGTTTCTGTGTTCTTCTGCGGCGGGTCTTGCAGAACTTAGCTCCGACCGCATGGACAGTTTCCACGAGCTTGTTATTTATACCGTCCACTTCATTGCAGTCTTCTAGACACTGAAAACGGTTTTATAACTCGAGCTGAAAGGTTTCAGGACTTTAGAACAGAGCACGAGGGGGACGGAGCGTAGACTTCATTAGACGAGACCTCTCCAACTTAACGTTTTGGTTCACTGTGCCTCTAACCATTCGGTGATCGCTACCAGTTTTCACCCTCGCGATCACGGAGACATCACTGAACAGTTGTCGTCTGGTCGTCATAATGAATTCAATCTCAATTTTCGTCGAACCGTCGGGACTCGACCAGGTCCACTTCCTGTGGGGCCGCTTTTGTAAGAAAGAGTTCATCATAAAGAGTCCCTCTTTCTCCATGAAGTCTGTCAGCTGCTGGCCCCTTGGGTTCCATTGCCCTATTCCAAATTTCTCTATTTTGAGCTCACCGTTCTCTCTCGTGCCTAGTTTTGCATTGAAGTCTCCCATTAACACCGTATATTGGGTTTTGGAGGAATGCATGGCTCTAGAGATATCCTCATACATTTCCTCCACCTCCGGGTGTGCCGAGGTTGGTGCGTAAACTTGTATGACCTTCAGGGAATACCGTTTGGTGATTCTGAGTATAAGGTACGCAACCCTCGTCGACACACTCCCGATCTTTACAACGTTGTTAACGAGAGACTTGTGGACGATAAATCCGACACCTCCTTGGCACAGATGGTCGCCCTCCCGGTGATAGAGCAAGTTGCCGGATTCGAGGATTACCATGTCCTCCCCCTTTCTTCGGACTTCGGATAATCCTATAATATGCCAGCGTAACATGTCTATCTCTTCTTCCAGCTCCACGATCTTCTCGTCAGTCCTCCTTGTGCGTGCGTTGTACGTTGCCAGGTCGAGTCATCTAAGGTGGCAACGTTCGGTTGCCACCTTAGATGAACCTGTCTCCACCGGAGATTCTTAGCACCCCCTGCCCCGTCGTTACCATGGTCGTCACCGTAGCCAGGAATAGCGGGGCCGCCGGGGACTGGGGGCCGTCTGTTTTTTGCTTTAATCATTGGGGGGTATTTGCCATAGTTGCCACGCTTGGCGAGCGGGTTGGCAACCGCAGTTTTTTTATTGTAATTTTGGCTATTATCAGGAAGATGCTGCTGCCCATCTCCTGCCTGTTTCCCTTTGTCGCCTTTTACGACACCCACGGGAAGATATGGGGTAGTGGATATTCTTGACCGCCACTACACTGCTTCATATTATTCGTCTATAGTTTTATAACCAATGATATTTTTAATATGAGGGAGTTTTTCCCCGAGTTTTTTCGAATCATTAATTTTTGAATTCATATAATATTTTCCCTCAGGTGTAATTTGATGCCGTGAGAAATATTGTATTTGTCGCAAATTTGAATCTGCCTTCCGCTACTGTCGTGAAACCGTCTTAGCATAAAAATATTTAACATTCATGAAAGGTTCGTATTTTAAAAATATACGTATTTGGTACAGGTTACACTTAACTACATGTTATTATGAATTTCTATAATAACAATATAATAGGTCGGAGAAAAAGATTCTTCGTATTTTATATACTAATTCGAGACCTGTTTTTTTTCAAAGTTTAATTACATTTATTTATTTAATTATAATATTATTGTCATTTTATTTCATTTTGTTCGATAACTTGTTTCCATCTTGTAGGTAGTGACATAATTCCATTGGTGTAGAATATTGGAATTTTTGATCAAAAATGCGACAAGTAGTTTTGACAGTCCTCTCTTTATGCTATCGTAACACTACTCAAAGAATACTGAAGAGACCAAAACAGGTGAAATCTGAAGTTACAAGGTGAGGACTATATGGTGGATCCATTAATACTTCCCAACCAAGCTCTCTCAATTTTTGCTGAGTGACAAAATATGTGTGTGCTCTGGCATTATCATCTTTTTTTATAGGTAAGGTGACAAACGAGCACACAGTCCACCTGATGGTAAGTGTTTGCTCTGACCCATAGACATCTACATCTACCCTCGTTTGAGAATCAAAATGCAGATGCGTTGTCACCCGTGAGGACTAAGATGGAATGCCTCTTTTCCAGTAAAAAGGGTTTCTCCGGTTTTC